TTAAGATGATTGAAAACTCGAAATTAGTTTTCTTAGGTGTTATCAATTGTTTTGGATTTAACTGAAATGCTACAAACATAGCATTTTGAAATCCTTGGGGGTGCTCGGGATACCATGATATCCCGAGCACCCCCAAGGATTTCAAAATGCTATGTTTGTAGCATTTCAGTTAAATCTTAGAATTTCAAATTCGGAAAATCCAACAAACCAAACATGAGATTGGAATTGATTTGAAATCCAAATCCCCTTAAATCAATTCCATTACTGCAAACCAAACGGGACCTAAAGATATTCAGTTTGCATGTAACATATGAAAACAACGTTTTTACACAAACTTTATGAATTATATCATAAGCATGTTGGTCACCGAGTTTAAGCCATGGGCTAGTGATGCACCCCTAACACATGACTTGTAGTACATTAGCACACATGGTGTGGACCACTGGTTGGTTGGCTAGGACCGATAGAAACGACACTTAATTACTCACGAGGGGGTCTGAAACTGATTTATCATTTCTTTCCATTAATGTCCAAAGTTAAATGTTGCACGATGACAAGTATTTTTGAACATGAATAACATCATCTAGATACACTGATTTTAACTGGAATTTGAGACAGATTTACATCATCAGACAGGTATTTCTTCTCAACATGCTTGTGCTCGGCGTCGAGATGTGTAAGCGAATGGTTTGATTTTTAAACAGTTTTATTTCAATTCTCGATAAGTATTTTCAGACCCATTTTTAGAATGAAGATAACTTTATGTGTATAATATGTTCTCTTTATTGACACCGACCCAACACACGTTTAATTCCTAACCTTCAACGCACTTTTAGTCCTCAACAAGGTTTTCGTCGCTTTTAGTTGTACCGCCATGTTGATTTCCCTTTTTCGTTCGACTCGTATCTATATATTCGTGAGTTGATATCAATTTTTATGCATTTTGTTATTAAATTTAATTTATAAAAAACATTTTATTACACATAAAAACATTTTATTGAGTTTTTTAAAGAGGGGAATAATAAAAAGAGTAGTGGGCCGGGTTAGGTTCGGACATATGATGGGCCAAAGTAAGCCCGATAGGAGAGAACCACTGTAGTTTGTAGTTGAACTAAAATTATAACGCATAAATTAAATAAAACTATTTTATTTATTATGTTTTTTCATTGTGCAACGAAATATTTCTCGATTTTAATGTTTCATTTTATTTATTTTCTCTGTTGATATGATATGGTTTTATGTGAGTTTTAGAAAAACATAAAACCAGTATATCATATATGATTTTTTACATTAAAATCATATGTGAACACAGAGGACCATGATCATTTGTATGTGATTTTGCATTGAAATTACATTTCATACAAGTGTTTGTGTTTTTTTTTTGTTTTTTTTATTAACCTGGATATCTAACCCGCTATACGAGCCGACTAATCTCAGGGGACCACTTGCTTTGCAGATAGCACGGAGTCACCGCATTTGAACCTCCGTGGCCACAAGGGGATTTTTATTTTTCTTTGGATTTGAATTTGGAACCTCCTGATACTTTTGACATTTGGATTCAAGCTCAAACTAATCAGACACCGCCCTTGTGGCTGTCTTTTTTAATTTTGACAAGGACACATGCAATCGGTATTTATAAATGGTAAAATTAGAAGAGAGATCATTAGGAGAAGAATTGTATCGGTCAAAATGACTTATCTTCGTTAATTTTCCGTCTTTTACCCGATAAGTTTTTATCAGGTAAAAGACTTCCATCTCACTTATCGGGAAAGTTTCTCAATCCTTATGCTGTACTTTTTACCGGATAAGATTCAATGAGAATGAATAAACACTTAAGGGCTGTTTGTCAATTACTGAATGATTTGGTGTTAAATGATTAAGAGACTCTCATGATATAATGTAAAATGAAATATAATTGTTTGACAATTATGTACATTGAAATTAGAGCTTTTAATGGTTAAAGGGAGATCCATAACACAAAATCATTCGGAGGGTTTTAGAACCATTAAGAGACAGACTTTTTTTTGTCAAACAATATTCAGCTCTTAACGATTCAAAGGTTGTTTCCTAATGAAATCAGAATCATTAAGAGATAAACAAACAAATCAATAATTCAATTTTTTTAACACAAAATTTGCTCATTATGTAAACCATGATGTATTTCTTTTTTAAAATTTCAACAAACAAAAAATCTGTGTAACAAAAATATCCCAAAAATACATTCAAATAAATCGTTAACAACAAATGCTATCTGCCAAATGGAACATACTAGAATCGAATCTGGTTATTCAACGGATGAGCAGACGGAAAATCAACCGGCGGGATCACCATTAACATAAGAAGAGCCATAATCCCGACCGGAAAGAACATCAACATCATCGGCGGAGGCGGCAATGGCGGAAGCATTGGCGGCACCACCAGAAGCGAGGCGGCTACGATTATCAGTAAGGCCACCAACTTCATATCGATTCCTCTCTTTTTTTATATGAATTTTCCGTTGAGTTTTCAATCTCTTCCGATCTAGACGAGAATCCTGCTTTGATTCGTTTTAATGGAGATGAAACCATGATATTTAAACAGATCGCAGAGATATGAAGAATCAGCAAAGAATCAAGAAGTTGATAACATCAAATCCCGATGCGATACGTCGTGGCAGAAGATCTCTACCAAATCATTAATCATCTCTTTTTTTTAAATTATATTTCTATCTGCAAATTTCTTTTTATTGTATGGTATCCAAAACATATTTATAAAAAGTAGGGTGGTCGGTTTACTCGGCACTTATCAGGATAAACGTTTATCAATAATATCACTTGCTTATCGAATAAGATTTTTATTTGGATAAGCAATAACTGTAGTAAGAATCATCACATTCACTTACTAGTTAAGACTCAATGCCCTTACCATATTCATCCAGTAAGATAATGTGACTTGGTAAACCCTTACCCAAGTAAGATGCTGTTTACCAGACGCTTACTCGGGTAAGTAAACACAAAGTCATATTATTTTACCGATGAATATGGTAAGGATAAAAAATTGTATCCGATAAGAATGAAACAATGACCAAGAGTCTTGTCCGGTAAGTGAGGGCGACACTCTTAACACGATAAACACTTACCGGATAACTTGTTGCATACGATACCGTTTTGGCGGACTAAAATCTTATCATGTAAGCAAATGATAGTATTGAATGTTACCGATAAACGCTTACCAAGTAAGTGTTTGATAAACGACCCCTAAATATTTTATAAATTAGGTACCAGCTTACACAGGGATCAGTTGATTTTGATATGATATTTTTCTACGTAATTGAAAAATATAGCATAATAACTTGACATTTATGTCATCAGTTATTACAATATTTACCAGTCAAATAATCTTTCCTTCAACTAGGTCAAACTTTATAGTTTCAAGGCCTTGATTTACACAAAGAATATTCTAGAATATCATAGCTAAATAATTCTTTATCGTTCTTGCTAAATACAACACAAACCAATCTTTCACTTTTTAGTATAGTTCGGGTGGGTTTATGTAGCGGTGAAAATGGAAGTTATGGCGTTAAGAAGGAATCTCCTTCTCTGTGAATCAACCTTTAATAAGATACTCCAGATCAATTTTCATGAAAAACATAATTTATGGGTCCAGATCTTCTCTTACGCTTCTCACACGATCCTTGTCGTTATATATATCTTTATTTGTGTTAGAATCGAGTTAAATCACATATTGAGAATACAAAAAGTAAATTCCGATGTTAATTTTTGCAAGAAGAAAATTAGTGGATAAAGTGCATTTAACAATACTATAAAGGTACTTGCACAATACATCAAAATATATCTTAATTTTAATATTTCATTTTATTCTTTATCTTAATCGATATTAATATCAAATTTACATATTTAAAATTCCTATTGTTTTATGTAATTTTTTAATTTAATTTTTTTTATTATAATTTAATTTAGATTCAACAACGAAGTAATTCATATTTAATTTAATAATATAATTTTCTCATAAAAATAATAATTAATTATTTTTGGTAAAACTCAATTGTTTATCTTATATTTGATTATGTTTATCTGAAGTCACTTACATGAATTCAAACATGGAGCTTTAATAAGTTGTACTTATGCATAATTTACTTGTAATATTAAATTTTAAGTAATACACATCAATATAAAATACTTAATGCACAAAAAAATGATTTTTAAGAGTTTTTGTCAAATGCTTTATAATATAGTATAAATACAAAGTGCACTTATTCTACTACTATAATTCCATTGATTTCCATCTCGTCGTTGCACTTGTCAAATCGTATTTCAAGAATATATGACCATTCTAACAGGACTACCCCATCTGTTATCGTCCACTCCCTACGATCTTAATAATAACTAAACTTTGAGGAATTAGGTATGAATAAGCAACAATAATATAAATAGAAGCAAGTACAAGGAAAAACATAACCAATTTGAAAAATCAACACGCCCCCTACTCTAACTAACCTAACTACCGACTCACTAATCCCATCCCTTACCCTCTACCTCTTCAGCTCCCTTCTACGGTCTAGAACCCCGCCCCTAATCTACTTACCCTGGGCTTGTATAGAACGAATACATATAGGTGCATACACGTATATGTATGCGTCCACATCTATACATGTATGCATTAGTAATGTCTATGTACACATCACATGAGCATATACATATAGATACACATACATATGTAGGTATATGAAACTATGAATGCACATAATTGCTCCTTGATGAGAAGCATGCATAAATACACACATACTCATGGATACATGCATATGTATGTATACACATGAAAGCATATGCCATATGACATGTATACATATATGTGACCTAATCATCTAGGTTACTAGGTACACATGTATATAGACATATATACCTACGTACATATATACATGTGTATAGATATATGCATACACACACACATACTATTACAAAATTTTCAAATCAAGAGTTCTCACAATAGCAGCAGCTTTGTAGCCATCCACTTGGAATTAGTGTTAAAAGAAAGAGCCTTCCTTCATTAAGTCCATCACCTAGTAAAAATGCCAAACAAGTCTAACACAAAAACAAGAACAAATCTAAAACAAGTTCAGACAGATACTTCTTGTTCATTTTTCTAAATTTCCTTTTTTTTGTTTTTTTCTCTTTTTGTTTTTTTTGTTTTTTTTTGGGAATATGCAGAAAGGTACTATAAAATAATCAAGACAACTACATACAGAGCTAGTATATAACAGATGCTAAACTAGGAGAAACAGGGTAATGGGAAAGAAACCTAACATTTGTCCTCAGTTGCCCAGAATGACCAATTAGGATATCCATCATTTTTTCAACCCCACATTCCCTCGGTTGCTAACGGCCGGTTTACTCTCTCCATAATAACTTCGGGGTTGAAATACGCAAAGGGGTTGTTATATGACTGCAAGAGTACAAAGTAGAAAAAGGTATGTTAGATTCACTAATAAGAAAGGTGTAACACCCTAAAGCCCAATGCAACAGGCTGGCCCGATAACTTCGAATCCAACTTAAACCATGGTGGAAGTTATTGATAGCCAACTTGAGGCTTATAAGGAGCTCACATATCCCATTTTCTATTTATGTGGGGCGAGTTGTTATAAACTCCCCCACTTAAACTCTTGACGTCCTCATCAAGCCTCCCTAGAATCTTCTTCCTTGTAATCGTAGATGTGGGATTCTCCTAAGATGTTACAAACATCCCCTCTCGAAGACTCATCACACCCGATGAGGTTTACCCCACTATCCCGATGGTACACAAGGATCCATTTTGATACCATTTGTAACACCCCAAAGCCCAAAGCAACAGACTGGCCCAATAACTTCGCATCCAACTTCCACTATGGTTTTAAGCTGGATTCAAAGTTATTGGGTCAACCTTTTGCTTTGGGTTTTGGGGCGTTGCAAAAGGGGCCCCCAAAAATTCTTCTTGTTACTCACCAAGAATCAAGCATCTTCGATAGGTCAACGGCAATAAATGGCTTGATCAATTAGCGGAGGAATTTGTTTTATTTCAGTACCAAGCTCCTGCTCAATCCTATACCTGTATCATAATAGCACGGAAACACATTGGCATATGCTAAAAGGCACCTGAAAACATTGTATCACATGGTAATACAAATATTACTTACAAGTTAAAGCGGTCTTCGTAGGTTATCAAATTCACAGCTAATCCCAGATGTCCAAACCTTCCGGAACGACCCACCTAAAATCACAAGGCAATATATGTTACTGTCACTTGATGAACATTCAAAGGCAGATAGAGCTATTTTTTGTAAAATAAAACTTGTAAACTACCCTGTGCAGATATGTTTCAGCATTCCTGGGAAAATCAAAATTAATCACAACGTTGACGGCTTGTATATCTATACCCCTTGTAAATAGATCTGTCAAGGCATGACACATTGAACATTAGTGTGCATCAAGGTATAAGCTCTTTCTAATTGGCAAGATACATTGGTCAATAATGCAAGAATCATCTTAAACAAGAGAACATATGTGAAAAGGACATATATATATATATATAGAGAGAGAGAGAGAGAGAAAGAGAGAGAGAGTGAGTTAGGGGAAAACCCCAAAAAATGAAAAATTGAGGAACACCCTAGTAACACATTCATCTGTATGTGGTATGCACATGTGCATACTGAAATTTTTTACTTGTATACACATGTGCAAATTGGATAGATGAACGGTTACTAGGGTGTTCCTCAGTTTTTCTAATTTTTGCGGTTTTCTCCTGAACCTGACTATATATATATATATATATATATATATATATATATATATATTCCTCTACTCAAATCTCTCTTAAGTACTCCTCTGTAGGCCAATATAGATAGTGCTGAGGTAGGACCACTAAAATAAGTCGTTATAAAAGCAACTTCGGGATGTAAAGCAAACATATCATACCCGTACAAACCAGGTTCCTGCATGCACCATTGCGGAAGTCATGGAATACCCTATTCCTGTGATCTTGCAACATTTTAGCATGAATATAGAAGCAAGAGTAACCCAGCTCCGTAATTTTCTTAGCTAATAGCTCAACCCGGTTGACAGAGTTGCAGAAGATAATAGATTGGTTGATTTGCAGCTGTTAATGAGGCATCAAGATAAATGAAACTTGTTGACAATATCTAGCAGAGAAAGATATTCCAGTTCTGACCTAACCTTGGAGAAAAGAGTATTGAGGCAGTGGACCTTCTGTCTTTCTTCTACGAAAGCATAAAACTGTGTGATACCTTTAAGAGTAAGCTCATCCATTAAATTAACAACGTAAGGTTTTTTCAGGTATCTGTCTTTGAAATCTTTGACGGTAACTGGAAATGTAGCTGAAAACATCAAAACTTGTCGTTGCTCGGGAAGAAACTGAATTAGCTGTTCCACTGAAGGTTGAAACTCTGGGGATAACAGTTTATCAGCCTGCATTAAGCAGATAAAGTTAGGGCCTGTGTGCTAGCAGCTTAATGAGCTTAATGGGACTCGCAACTTATTCGGTCAGCTATACACGACTGTTTGGTAATGGCTTAATGATATAGAAAGTGGCTTATTCAGTAAGCTTCTGGGRGRGRGGGGGGTTATGCAGAAGCCAGGTTGAATTCCAAACCTGCCCTTCCCAATTAAAAAACATGCTCATTCCATTTATGGAAAAACCCTCCAAACAAAATCCTTCCCGGTCTATACGGGCAGATTAATCCACACAGACAGCTTTATCCATATATAACTTAATGGAAAACCAATTAAACAGCCCCTAGTCTCAAACATGTTGGATTCTCAAAAAATCATAATTGGAATCTTAAACTCTGATATGATTAGACTCTCATCCTTAAAAATTAAAGAGACATTCATTTACATAAGCCTTCATGCTCTCAATTTTCCGTTTTAGATATAGCATTTCCTTTAATTTATAGTTCTATAGATCTCTACCAACCAATGTTATCTTTCCTTTATCTTATACAGAAATTTGTAAAACAGAATTTAATGAATTTCTGAGGTACAGTGGTTTAAGCTCAAGAAACATTTAAGACAGTTTGTTAGTATAAGAAGATTGAAAGTAATCACAACAAATGATTCTGAAGGAATGAGAAGAAAGGAACAACATGATGACTTGATAACAATATTATATATACTTTAAAGTAAAGTAATTTAATGTATTCTGCATTGTCTGAAACCTGGCTTTTTATACTTATTTTAGAGATAAATGAGGCTATGATCATCATTTAACATTGGTATCAAATATACAAACATGGGTACCTCTCAGAGACAATAAATTGACAATGAAGGCAGATATAAGGGCTGAAATGCTCTGCAAATACCTCATCCATGACTAGCATTGCACAATCAGTCAGATTGCATATGCCCTTTTTTGTAAGATCGAGAATTCTTCCAGGAGTACCAACCAGCAAATGCACAGGTTGATATAAGCGCATTATATCATCCTTCAAACTTGTTCCTCCAGTGGTGACCATTACTTGAATTTGTAAATGTTTTCCAAGTTCCTTGCAGACTTGTGATGTTTGAAGAGCCAACTCTCTAGTTGGAACTAATATGACAACTGTATTTATTATTGAAGCCAGAAGTTAGCTATAAGTAAATAAAGTTCAACATCAACGAACAAACCATACATTTCTCTCTCAAATGATTTCATTCTACTTAAGAAAGTGGAAAGGCATTCAACATTGATCCTTTCTTTTTGCTAATACAAACTGAAATAAAGTTGGGCATTCAAAGAAGCCACTTGGAAGTATCTGACACCAAGTAGCCATTTTGACGGTCTTTCAATGAAGACCTCCACCACGATAAATCATGTGTTTAGATCTATGCTCTATATATGTATAAGGAATGAAGTCCAGGTAATTGCAAAATTTGTATATCATATATGTTAACAATACAACCTATTAACCTCAATATGACAAATTAGCAAGGGCGTCTAGAAAAGTAATAACAAAAACCAAAGAATATTGAAATTGGAAGTCCATTACAAGAAACTTCATGAGAATCACTGTGCATCATTATATCTTCTTTTTAAGTTCTGGTATCCTTTGCTAGAGGTGTGGATCAGAGCAGAGCATGTTTCATGTCTTACAGCAAGAAATTGCCAGGACAGTGAACATTTCAACCAAACTAAATAACACAAAATCTGGAAAGATCTCATGATCCTATAGTTAACTATCAGGTTTGCAGTATGCCATTGAGTTGGTGGAATGCATGTTTAACCCACCAAATACGTCTGGTTGAAGTTTAAAATGCTCCAAAACGAGTTAAATTGGACTAATTTAGCAATATTGATTATCCCTCTATTTTCTTCCTCTGGTAGTAAAAATGCCTATATCTCAACTTTAAAAATGGATGAGCAAAGTACTTTCCTCTGTAACCATTCAAGAACAACCACCCCCTAGCTTTTCCCTTCAAGAGAAAGGATATATTTCACTTATAAAGCCAAACCCATGTGGAACCTGTATGGCTGTATCCACTATCAAGCTACCCCCTGCATAACACATATAGATCATCTAGAATATAGCCTTCCTGTACCTATTTCACAAAGCCAAACAACATAAACTAATACGTCATTGACTCTAGATCATTTCTAAATATTGTGAAAAATTCTAACCCATGTCTCCTTTACTATAAGAGGGAGATATATTCAAAGCAAATCAAAGACGGTATACAAGCTTCATGATAAATATCACGCACTGACTCATATGTGCAGGTCTGCATTTGATTTTAAAATCTGCCACCAGTTAAATATTTCTATGATGATGTTTTAACTCCAATGCTACACCTCACACAATTCCTTAGATAGAATATATAATATCCTATTCCCGCTTACTAAAATAAGAACTTCAAAAATCAGAAGCTATTAATGCATGAGATGCATAAAAATGCATAACAGAAAGAGGTTGTAGAAACGTTAACCTTGAATACTATTGTTATCTGTATCAATCTTTTCGAGAGCTGGAATACAGAATGCTGCTGTCTTTCCAGTTCCATTTTTTGCTCTTGCAAGAATATCACTTCCGGTCAAAGCAATAGGGATACTTTCTTCTTGTATAGGTGAAGGTCGTTCAAAACCCTTTTCATAGATTCCCATAAGTAACTCCCTTTTCAGAAAATAGTCCTCAAATTCATTTCCTTTAGTGGCAGTGACATCCTGTAAAGAAGCAATGGAAAACCATCTTATGAGAAAGGTCTAATGTAAATGCTGATTTCCATTACTAATACCATCATTAAATCTTTTGCTCTTTGGATCATCTAATATCATGAGCTTATGATCTCAAGTAACAACTAAATCATCATGGCTATTTATCTCCACATAGCAAATTTGCTATTATGGTCAGAGCCCTATTGTTTATTAGAAAAAATGCCAACCAGTGTCACGGAGACGCTTATATTTTAGAAGTTGGGAAGTGGTAGGTTTGACTTTCAAAATCAAGAGATGATACTAATATGTTAAATGAAGTAATAGGCTAGCAAACTCCCTAAAGTAACAGAACCAGTATCTACCCTTACCTGTTCAGGAAGATAGAGCATTTATATAACTAACATTCATAAACTGTAGATAAGTTATTGCTGCATAAATAATTCTTTAAAAAAAATGAGACAATACAAGGTAGAGAAATGCATGACGGAAAATTTTTGTTTAACAGGACATTGTGCACATGTACCTCAGTCCTGTAACGGGTGTCTGCTGCAGGTACGTTCAATTGTGCCTTCCAATCCTGAGAGCTAAACCGGCAAAATGCACAAAGAGATAAGTTCACAAGTAGACATAAAAGCATAATGCCCCGATTATAAATAGTTATACACTGAATATGAATGAACAGGTTTTCAAACATCATTCAGTTAAAGCCTAAAGATGCAATGAGAAGAACAACATTTTGAGCGATATTCTACATCTGCTCCAATTTACAAGAATAATTAAAAAGAGAGAAGAATCTAACATAACTGAAGGGTGCAAACAGTCACATACAAGAAGAAATAATCACTCCCTAACAAGTTAAAAAGTGGGATGATAAGAAAAATAAGTACACTTGGTAGCATATAGGAAGAAGTCGCAGATCACTTAATAAATGAAGACAGTAAATTAGTATATAGACTTTAGTAACTTCTCTAGGGAACATGGACTCGTATTTAAGGGAGCTTTTAGAGGTGTTCTTATCCAACCAAAGGACCCCATAGAGAATGCAAATTAAGAAGCTAAGAAACATTAATAACAGCCTCAGAGAAAACATTAGAAAATTGGAAAGTCCACATGCTAGTCCCTTGGCACCTTAAACAATGTAAAAGACAAGATTTTTGTGAACTGTTCATGACCATAACATTCGAGAAGAGAACAAAACATTTTAAGCTTGTAGGAAAGACAGAAGATTCAGATTATTCAAGGTTTATGTTCCTAATCCTCCCTCTCTCCCTGTCCAACCTATGTCTTTCTCAAACACAATCACCAAAATAATGACGTAGCAACCGCTCAAAGGTAGAGTCATTTTTAGAAGAAGGCACAAGATTTCACCTAAAAGGTAGAAATATGTACACAAGTTGGTAAAAAAAGAAAAATCTGCAATGAAAAACAAAAGAAAAAAGAAGAAAAAACCACCATCTACTCCCTAGTTTGCAAGCAATACCAGATTATCCTTTTAGAGAAAATAAAAAATAAAAAAGAAAGGAATCTAAAAGTTCTAAAAACTAAAACCCCACAACCAATGAACTTCAGTAAAGAAAGGGTTCCATGGCCACAAGTGTGAGAAACTGATGGTGGAGTGATAATGACAACAGTGGTCATCTCAAGGTTTCAACCATACAGCACAGGTCTTGTAAAATAGACGCGGAGGCACGGATTGAGAGGCTGGAGGGTTGAGAAAAGAAGAGTGAGCGGGTTACAAGTCAGCCAGGAAGGAGGCTAGAAACACAAGGTGGTTGGTCGGAGACTAACAAGGAGAGAGAAGAAAGGAAAAAAAGGGTATAACAAGGGAATGGACGGACCATAGAAGGGCATACGGTGGCACGTGCCACCGTATTATCTCTCTGTCGAAAGGTTAAAAAATTTACGTTCATGAAAGGTGCAACCGTATCATTTTAGAAGGTGCCACCGTATGATATTCAAAAGTTCAAGAAGGTGCAACAGTACCTCGTAATCAACCAAAAAACGAAAAAAAAGCTCTTGAAATCAACCAAAAAACCCAGAAAATTAACTCTTGAAATTAACCAAAAATCAGGAAAAAAGAACTCTTGAAATCAACCAAAAAACCGAAAAAGTCCCTCAAGACAGTGCAATAAGGCTAAAAACGCATCGAGCGATATTGAATGTTAGTAAGAACATGAAGACAAGTCGATAAAAAACCGTGCTTTTGTAATTACTTTTTATCTATATTAGGTGCCACCGTATAAAAAATTTCCTGGGTCTGTCCCTGAACGAGAAGTGAGGCTTCTGTGAAGAGGGTTAAGCTAAAGATTTACGGGTCAAGGGTGGCTGGCAAGGAGGTGGTCGGCAACTAAAAGGAGAAGACAGTGGTTGAAGCCTTGGGGGAGGCTTGAAGGCGGATTGTGGGCCTGAGACTTGGAGACAACCATAGGCTAGATAGCCAAAAATGCTATAAAAAAAAGGAAGTTTGAAGGAGGGAGAAGGTTAAGAAAAACAGCGGAGGCAGGATTAATAGGAGCTGGGAGCGGTGGATCTGATTCGGTGTGGCGGACTAAAATCAGGGAAGGAACGGTGACTTTAGGGAGAGCAGACAGGAATAAGCGAAGGAGTACCCCCAGATGCAGGCACAGACTGGTAACTTGAGGAGGGAGAAAAGAGATAAAACCTTAAGAGATAGAAATTGCAACCAAAATCAAAGATGGCCTTGGTGTACACTAGCTTCTAGAAATCCATATGCAACATGCCATGGCAACATATTATCTACAAATCTTTCTGCTACACATAAGTCAGAGTGTGGGGAAGCTTGCTTGCATTTGTTTATGAAAACATGACGGCAAGTTGTTATACTGTGAGTCATAAATTTAGCACGGATGAGTTAAACTAATCCAACATGGCATAAGAGGAAGATAAACTAATAACCAGACTGCATAAATTCAAGGATGGAACCATGTAAGCTTTGGAGTGTGCTCCACCGCATAGAAAATGTTGACATCAGAAACTGATAGTTACCATAGCATCATCTACCAAGGATCATTAGCAGCTCAAAAGAATGTTGGCCTGTTGGGTTGATCCGAGCACACGATAGCCCATATCACTTCTAGGGAATTCCTTTGAGGCTTGCTCAATGAAAAAGAGGTGGCCTCCATGGCAGCCTACTAATCCTTCACAACCTTTATTGAAGAATTCCTAAGATTCTATTATAAATGCTCCAAGCAAACATATCATGATCAACTTTCTATTTATAAAATACTTTTACTTAAACCAGTGAGAAAATCATGACTGGTGAGTCAAGCATAGCCAGTATAACAAGCTACTATAAATACTGTAAACCAAAATGCATTACACGATAACCCCTTTCTTCAACACTAAAAAGCTCCTTCATGCAATTGAAAAACACTGCCATACCCTTGTCCTTTCTCTGATTGCAGAACTACTATGTTACCTCAAAGAATACACATACACACGTATACAAGTAATCACTTGAGGAATGCGAACATACAGAAATAAGCTTATATCCTATTCTATACACTCACCTTAAATGAATCTCTACTTGGATTGAGTTACATATCGGTCAAACCACATTACACTGAGGGCAATACGGTCTCAAAGTTAGAATGCAATTTTTATATAAATAGGTAATTATCATCAAAATCATTCCAGAATTACTATACATGTGGCCACAACATCTCAAGAAACAATACATTAATGATTAATCATCTCCAAGAACACGAAGAAACATTTATGAATACCAGATACACTACCTAGTAACGTGACAACAATGTAACAAGTACTAGTTCAAGATTGACGTAAATCCTATATAAGAGCGTAATTTAGTTAAACATAAAGCAATTGGAAGTTCAAGAAAATGATATAAGAAACTAGAACTAAAAAATTAACCTTGTATCGACGCTGCCATCTGAATGTACGGATTTCTCAACTTCGTCGGTAACATTAGTAGCAGAAGAACCAGATGCATTAGGACTCCGTCTTAGCCACTGCTGCTGATGATGATTTTGTTGTTGTCCGGCCTGCTGCCTCTGCACGTACTGCGGCTGCTGCTGCTGCTGCTGCTGCCGCTGCTGTTGAAACTGATGCTGGTGATTAGGGTTTCGAGATTGATGGTAGTAATTAGGGTTTGGGTGAAAATTTCCACCGCCACCACCGTCATACCCTCCGCCGCTACCGCGACCGTTGCCAATACCCGGAGGATACCGGCGATTGTTCATCAGAAGATGATCTTTCAGTTCGTTTTCTTGGATGGTAGAGTGGTTTTGACCGTTGTAAGAAGAAACCTTTTGCCCGATATACAATCGCTTTTAGGTCTTCAGATCACACGCTGATTCAGTGTTCACTTCAAAATAAAATGCGACTTCTTTTTCTTTTTAAACTTGTTATTAATTGTATTGTTTATATAACAACTCGTCCCATTGAAAATTATTAGTTTCTTTCTCGTAAACAAGAAGTAGGCTATCAATAATTTTTATATGATTTTAAGTTGGATTCAAAATTATTGGACCAGTCCATTAGTGTTGGCTTTGGGGTGCTACATACAAATTGCATCAGAGTCGATCATTGTACCATCGGGTTGGTGGGACAAATCTCATCGGATACGATGAGTCCTTAAGAGGGGGTGTTTGTAACATCTTAGGCGAATCACATATTAACGATGACAAGGATGAAGATTATGAGTAGGTCTGACGAGGACGTCAGAAGTTTAAGCGGGAGAGTTTGTAACAACTGTCCATTGCTCTGGGCTTTGGGGGTGTTACGGTTTATAATTAAGGTTGGTTTAGTGGAAATCAAAAAGTTGAAAAACCGTGGAATATCTTAATAGCTTTTTATTTGGATGATATGTAAATGTGTGTATAAGTAATTGAAGATGTTTATTGTTTTTATGTATGTGTGCATGTTATGCACATGTGTATATCAGAAAATTTACTTACAAATTACTTGTATGCATACGTACATATTATTCAGATAAATGGTTACTAGATTACTATTGATTTTTTTTATTTTTTACGAGTTTTCCCTAAACATGGTCTTATAATTATTACCATTTAAATAAGCACTTGGACCAAAAAATCTGATTGTTAGATACAACATCTCCGATGAAGGTTCTTATAAGAACTTATTTTTTTTTATCAAGTCATTTATAACACAAGAAATTAATAACCTACGTAAAACCCATTTTATGGGTCCATAAATAATATAAGTTAAATAAATATACACGTATTAATTATCATGTCGACTTAAAAATATATGTATTAAAAAAATTGCGTTGTCAATGTTACACTGACTTCAATGTTAGAATCAAGGTATTTGTACAATAACTTAAATATGGTAAAAGTATCTCCAACAGCTTCTTTAAAATAGAAAATAAATATAATTTTTTTTCTCTAAAATGCTCCAACAGCTTTGCTATTTTCTTCTTTAAAATATAAAATAATAAAGAAAACTCTAAATATAGATAATTCTCTAAACTTGATGTTGGGAGAGATAAATGGTTGTTTTATCAAATCCCACGGATGATATTAAGTTATTATTTTTATATAAAAAGTTATTTTTTAAATAGTGTATTGGTTGGTAAATTAAAAAATATTATAATAATATAATCTATATTAAAATATTTAAAATAGATAATCTGTTGAATATAAAAGTAATTTTTTTTAGAAAATTTACATTTGTTTCTTTAATTTAGAAAAAATATAGAAAAATTGTTTGGTTATGTTTGTTTTTTAAGAGGCGTTGAAATCTTGTTTTATTTATGATTTATAAGAGGTGGTCATGGAGTCTGAAATCTAGATCAGTAAGAATGTTTGTTTTTACATCTGAAGTCTGAAATATGAATCGGTCAAACATTTTACAAAAAAAAAAAAAAAAAATTACAAACGTATAAAAGATAAATAGTTTTTGCTACAAATTTATTCTAACCCTCAAAATATGAACCATTTAATAGAGGGCGGATTAGGATTAAGATGTATTAAGAAATATGTTTACCACTTAAAATTTTAGAGGAAATTTATAACTTTTAAGCTCTTATTTTAGAAAATGAAACAAACACTCTTAATACCAAAACGTCTGAACGAATAAGACTTCAGAGGTATTAAAAGATAAATTTCAGGGCCTTAGAGATGTTTATAAAAACTCTTACCAATATTGATTCTTATAAGAAGTTGTATCTTTTATATGAAGTTTTTCTTTTATGTAGCAATTTGTGAACCACAATTCCAATATTTGAATCATCGACTTTGTTTTTTATTTCTCTGTAGGGTTTTTTTCCCGTAATGAATTTCCGTAACGAGGGTTTGTTAGAGCACCTTTAACAAATTATCTAATATAATGGGGATTTTTGTTCCAATAGATTCCCAAACATTTTCCAAAAAATGGATAAAGTAAGGGCATGATTAAGAGGCAACATCCGAACCATAATGAGTGAATTTTGTTTGTAAAAAAAAATTTATGTCTCTTAATGGTTTAAAAACCCTCTGAATTATTTGTATATTGGGTCTTCTTTAACCATTCAACAACCTATTTCTATTGTAAACAATTATATTTCATTTCGCACTATATCATGAGAATCTCTTAATCATCCAACATCAAACCATTCAACAACTGTCAAACCATTAAGAGACATAGGGTGAAATTCTTTAAATTTGGGGAAATTATTACATATGAAATAAAAGCTTCTTTTAGTTTTTTCGTATAATATTTGAAATTAAATATATACGAGATGAAAATAATATTTTATGAAATATATTTAATATTTCAATAATATAATCCACACTGTAATCTCTAAGGTGGATAAGTTGTTGAATATATTTTTATAGAGATTTTGATTTGCATAAAGAATTTGTTGGAAATGCTGCTAGAGAAATCAAAAGCGCAACACAACGATACCCATCGATGTGTTAATAAAAATACATGAACTACACAGTAGAGTAGTGGCAATTGTATAAACCAAAGTATAATCAGGGGATGTTTATCAAACACTTATTTAATAAATGCTTACCGAGTCACTTACCTTACCGGATGATATAGGAAGGAACGGAAAATCTTATCCGGTAAGTGAATATAACGAATCTTACCAGATAATTGTTGCATACAATGTCGTTTTGATGGGCTTAAGTCTTGTCCAATAAGATAAACAAGGCATCAACACTTATCGATAAGTGTTTAAAGAGTAAACCATGAGTTTTACGAGCCCTTGCATTAATTTTCACAATTTTAAATTAATCTTTTTACAGGTACATCACAGCTAGATAGAGGTGATCACTTGCAGACGTGGGTTGAACCTAACTTGTTATTTTTGTCCAACGAGTTTAATATTGTAAACTCAAGTCTTTTTTTTGGGGCTTGACAACTTGCCATTGCCCGCTTACAAACGGACCGGGTTTGCTCACAGGTTAACGTGACAAAAAAGTTTAATTTTTATAAATCGGTAAACTTGATCACTGGCAATTAGTTAACAGATGTGAAACCAAAAGTAAAAAAAAAAACACCGTTGCAATTAAAATTTCAAGAAACTAACATAACACATGGATCTTAAACAAGTGCTGTTACAATTAAAAATTTAAGCAACTAAAATGACACATGGATCTCAACAAGTGGAAAAAGAAATGAAAAACAAAATCCAAACTTCCATAAAATCAATAATGCATTCCTATATTTTATGTATAACATTAAAGGGACGTTTGGTTCGTAGAATAAAATTCGATTGAATTGAAATTCATCAAATGAATTTGACTTTGAAGGAATGAAATGAAATATGATGGAATTTGACCATGCCTTGTGATTGCGTTTGGTTGCATGGAATTGGATTAGGGAAGGAGTCTGAAAGAAATGAATTGAAATCCTAGCATATTGCCATAGAATTGTAAAATCTGTGCGTGAAGGAATCGACTGGAGTTGAAAGGATTCCATAATCTTATTCCATGAACCAAACACTCTATTTGGAATTTGGTCAAAGGATTGAACATTCCAATTTCTTTCAATTCCCATGATCCAAACAAAACCTAATATTCATATTTATATGGTTCCATCATGCTACTGCCGATTTCAAACATCCCAAGTTTTGATCAAGAACCATCGTAATTCTTCAGTCAAAGCGTCTCATCCTATAACTTTAATAATTTAATTTTAAAATATATCAATATAACTTTAATTAATGATAAAAAAATATTAATTTTAAAATATAAATGGATCTGTCCATACTTATTTCTACATCGTTCATGTCCGTCCATTAATTTTAACGAATAAACTTGTATATGTCAATTTTCTCGATTATGATCGACCAAGCCCGTTTTCTAGCTGGCCAAATGGACCGGATCTAACAGGTGGTCTGTCTGATCATGTATAATATACAAACATATAAAAGATTAATATTTATTGATTTATCTATATTATCTTATAAAGCAAATTTAACAAAAGTCTTAAAGTCTTAAAATACTAAATGACCAAGATACCCTTTATATCACTTTTTCATTCCATCATCTCCTCACATACACTCACCATCTCACATAAGATTTTTTTAAAATTACACTTTATACCTTTATAATTAGTTAATTAATTTACTTTACGTCTTTTACTTTTAAATGTTTCATTTTAAACCTTTATCAAATTAATATACATAATCGTGTATCAATTAAAACATATTTAAAAAATACATTTTTATTTTAACAAGTTACACCATTATAATCGTCTCGTTAATACCTTCGAAATGAGTCTAATATTGAATAGTTTTTGACTTAATTATATTATTATATATTATATATATTGTGAAAAAATATTTTTAATATTTACGATTTATACTTTTATAGTTATTTATTTATATATACTATATATTTTGGGGTTAGACTGTCCAAATTGCACTATATAATATGTTCTGAATTAATATGTTCTTGGGTTTTTTTGAAATATATATATACATGTATTAATTCAACCTTAATCTGAGTTTCTGGACAAGAAAGAGGGTAAGCAATTGAAATTGCATTCTAAAACCCATTTTTTTGGGTCTTTTCATGACTTATGATCTGTCAAATTTGTAGTTTTCTTTATTGATTTTGAGTGTTTATCTTAAAACTCAAATTTTTTGGTTCTTTGCTCTTGGTGTAAATCGAACACATTTGTGGAGTCATTTAAATATGTTGGATTTTAAATATATTGGATTTTAAACTGTCATACAATTATTTTCATTGATAGTCTGTAATTGAAGTATATCATCGTTAAATCTTATCTTATAAAACCAGCAAAACTTTAAAATCATTAAAATTCATGGCTCCCGCCGCATTTGCAGGGTACACAACTAGTATAAAATATAAAAGATAATATTTTATGGATTTATTGATTTATTTGTGTGCGTATATATGTGAAAGTGAAATGGTCTTCAACACATGCCCTCCTGGTAAGACTCAATTGCCATCGTCTCCCTTCTTCTAGATCATTCTCACCAGTCACCTCGCTCAACGACGAATCTTCAGAGAGTCAAGCAACAACCCTCTTTCTTTCGCATTCGACCATCTCCTCTGCAAGTTTCCGCTTGAAAGGTATTTTATTTGTGAGTTGCAAGGCTATGTAATCTCAACTAGGTTCTGATTTCCGATTATATGTGTTCTTGACGTTTTTTCTTCGCCAATCAAGCGATTTGCGCTTTATTGATCATTTCAAACTGGATGAAGTTCGATTTGTTGTTCTACTAGAAACAACGATACCAAATTCTTTTACTTGCTTTCGATGTCCGTTGAAATGAGTCAATGCCCTAACTAGATTTCCGAAAATCACAAACCCTGATTATATGTTTTGCTAAAGCGGAGATTCTGGATTGATTTGATTTAAACTAAATCGTTGTATGTTTTCTTAAAGATATAGACGCTAATTTTTAATGGGGTTCCCGGTTGTTTCTAATTGAAGTTATATTATTTTCATCTGAAATCCTGGATATGAATACTGATGCATCGTGATTACTCTGAAATATTAGGGTTATTTTAGGACGATCATGTAATTTTTGGATTTGTTGTTTCATCTTGCCAATAAAATCTTGTTAGGCTGTGGTATTGGGGCTAAAACCATGTATTAGGGTCTTGATTTACATGGCAGAGAGTTTGATCGAATTATTAATTTTGTACTTTATGTTTAAAAATTGCTCTCATTCACAACCCATAAACATTTAACTAGAAGCATACTTACGATGACTCAAAGGGAAAATTAACACTAATGATAACTACAGCATGCTATTTGAAAATTTATATGAGAGGGTGACATATTGATGTGCTTAGTTGCTTGAGGAAGTTTACGGTGAAATGTGCAAACTTCTTGTGGCATTAGATTAACTTGTCTCCACCACATTGTAAATTACTTGATAATTCCTGTCATCTCAAAGCCAGGAAACCTCGACTCTGATTCTTTTTATTTTCTGTAAGTATGAAGTCTTGAATATCATATGGATTCCATCAACATTTGTTCTTCATAAATCCAAAAAATGAAAGATCCATGGTTTTTTGATGCTTGAAGTTTATGGCATACATAACTACACATTTGGATCTGAGGTTGCTTTCTACCCATGAATGCAAAGCTTCTGGTTTGAAGTATGAATGAAAGTATGCCAAATGAAAATTTGCAATAGTTATAGTCATCAAATGCTAGATGGGAACTTTTTGTGTATGAAACCACTGTCTTATATTCATCTGATAATGTATTTTGGGCCTCGTGTCAGATTCAGCCCTCCCATGGCATATCAACATTCTGATGAATGTGTTGGCACAAGCAATATTGCTGCTGAAGGTTCTGAATCGGCAGTGGAGATCCAGATCAAGACACTTGATTCGCAGTTGTACAGCTTTCGTGTTGATAAAAATGTAACTGCTTCTTACTCTTTTTGTCCTTAAATTTCCCTAGACTCGTCATGTTTGCATTTGATAAGTTTATCTCTTCATTTGGCTTTTCTCAAATTTGCCCGCCCTGGTCGTGAGCACACTTAGGAGATAACTGATATCACATACGTTAACTAAGGAGTGATATTGCTATATATGCCCTGAAATCTCAGTTCAAAAGAATTCCATTATTGGTTGTTCTTCTTAACATGAGTAATAGTAAAAATATTTTACTTTTTGTTTAAGGTAAAAATATGAATGCTAATGTGTAACTCTTAAAAAATATCTAGAACACAAAAGAGTATTGAAATTTAACCTGTTAGGATTGCATCACTAAATTTATATTGTACAAGTTACCTTTAGTTTTTTATTTAGTAAAAAGTAAATGTATTTTTTTTATCTTATTGTTCAAGTACATGTATAACTACAATACATTACACTTCTATTCTGTAAAGTTAACTTGTATTTGTGATTCTCATTTTAAAAGTAATTCTAACAAATTTTGTAATTTTTTTATTGTCATGTAACTTGGAGAATAAAAACAAAGATTCTAAATTTTTATTAAAAAAATATTATACGACATCTACAATGCGTAAATGTAGTTGGACACATGTAACAGGCTCTCTCTCTCTCTCTCTATATATATATATATATATTATCTGATTTTTTATATAATATTTTACAATGCATTGTACATTTCCATGTTTTTTATTTCAAATAATATTTAGTGGGAAAAAGGGCACGAAGGACACCAAACTATGCACCGAGTTTTACATCATCACATTGGCACCTCAACTACAAAATGATCAAGGATGTTACCAAATCTGGCTGATATGATAATTTATACCAATTCAGGTCAAAATGATGTTGGGAAATGATAAAATGACCATTACACACCCTTCAGTTCACTTTTAGTATTCAAAAGTCACTATAAGAAAACTAACCTAAATTTCAAAGATCTGGTTTGCCAAACTTAGAAACTTAATTAAAGATCTGTTATTAATTTTCTGTTTGTGCATTGATGACTTGCAAAGTACACCTTCATCCCATCTCGACGAACTCCCCACCACACCCACTACCACCACTACCATCCTCCTTTGTCCTGTCGCCTCCTGGCCATTGTTGTCCTTGGCTACTGTTGATGAAGTGGACAAGAAAAATTAGGTTTATGTTTTGTTCAATGTCTAGGTTTTTATGTTTTGACCACCAAACAACTATAAATTAAGGATATTGTCATTTTTGGCTGGATTTGGTGTAAATGAAGGCAATTGCAAAGTTTGGTGCCCCCCTTTGATCGTATTTTAGTGGATGTGCCTACTTGAAATTTAATGCATAGTTCGGTGCCCTCCATACCTATTTCTCCTTTTCAGAAGTAACTTGTAGAATATGCAATTTTATTTGTACTAATTCATCTATCTGAAACAAAACCTCATTCACGGGTTGCTTTGAACTGTTATTTAGTTTTGTTATTCGTTTTTGTCAGTCAAAGTGGTCATTTGACCTTTTCTATATATATTGCCTAAACTTCAGATGCCAGTTTTAGCATTCAAGGAAAAGATTGCTAGTGATGTTGGCCTCCCAGTTGGACAGCAGCGGCTGATCTTTAGGGGCAAGGTGTTGAAGGACGAGCACCGTCTTTCGGAATATCGTATCTTATTTACGTGATGAATCATATTTGGTTACTGTTATTTTTTTGTTTCTTCGATTTCTGTTGCTTATCAACATTCTTCAGGCAAATGCAGCAAACGGTTCTTATTTTCAACAGTGGACTAGATATGTTTCAAAGTGTGCACCTGTTAGTTTACATGAAGATGCTTAAGTTTAGTCGGCTAAATAATTTTGGTCACTTAGAATAGGCTGATTAATTTAGATGGTATAAGCAGACATGTTCTGTAAAGCAGTATGGTTTAAATGTATCTGTGCTTTTACGAGCATAAGTTCTCTTTTGAAAGCCTTTACAACTGATAGATGTTGAAAGTGGACACACATTGCATCTGGTGGCTAGACAGCCTTCTGATTCACAACCTTCCTCTGGTACTGGGACAGCAACTGCAAATGGTAGTAATACAGGTGCGATTATCTATTTAACCTTGCATGATGCATCGTATATGCCATATTAAGTGCTAAAATGTCCTGCATAACTGGCATACATATAAGGTTGTAAGCAATATATTTCCAATTTGAAATCCTTTATTTTAGTGGACCCTCGTCCCCTCTAAGCATTGTATTTGAATTTTACACAGATAGAGTTACATGTGCATGTTGTTACTTTCGATAATTTCAAGGTGGCATTTTCTGTTACAGGACAAGATGCTAATGCTCCTGGTTCACGCCCTCGCGTTGGTCATGTTTCACATAGTGTTGTACTTGGGACCTTCGGTGTTGGGGACCAAAATGAAGGTGGCACTCCTGATATTAATCGGGTATGTTTGCTTTTTGACCTCTGTAGTATGTTATCTATGAATTGATGGTATCTATGCTTTACAATGGCTTGTGTAGCTTAGACTCCATTCTTTTGGTTCTAGGTTATCGGGGCTGTTTTGAATTCCATTGGAATTGGGGGCCAGATCTCCACGGTTGGTATTGGCGGACCACATCCAAATATGCAGGTGACTTTTGCTCTGTCTTCATTTTTTCTTTACTTTGTGGTACTGCCCTTGCAAAGTTACTTGTGTTCCCCCCCATATATATATATATATATATTTATATGAGGTAAGTTTATTGTATCCATTGTTCCAGTGATTTTTGATTATGTATAGCACCTTTGTTCCTTTTAGCAACTCAAGTTCTTGTATACAGTTATGGCTCGTGTGATTTATACATCATTTGTAACAAGTTTTCATATGACTATCACGTTGTCATTTATAGTCTCCTCAAATAAAAATTAAAAAGAGTGAACAGGATTTTAATTGATGTTTTCTTTTGTTTCTGTATCTATTTACAGTTCAACGTTCCTGTGCAAGTTGCCCAAGGAAATGAAGCTGGACTTAATGTCAACAATCAAGGTCAAATGGGAAACCCTGGTCAACATGCCACTCAAGGGTTGCAAATTCCTTTAGGAGCAGGAATAGCCATACCTACACTTGCTACGGTTGTAATACATTAGAAGATTTCTTTTTTGTTCTTCTCTACTTGCTACATTGTCTTACATCCCATCTTTTGGTTGCATGGTTTTTTGCTTGTATTTCAGCCAATTCCTGATTCATTACACACACTTTCTGAGTTCATGGATCGCATGGAGCAGGCATTGTCACAAAATGGTATCGACTCAAAAATTTGTTTGTTTGCTTCTTTTTCCTTCCTGGATAAATAGTTTATCTGATTTGTTTCTTCTGAGCTCATTGCAGGGTATCAGCAAAATCAACCTGCAAATGGTGCTGAACGCTCACCCGCTGTAGAATTGCCGTCCAGTGCTCGTGGCGTGCCAATGCCTGCAGCTCTTGCAGTTGTTTTGCGACATGCACAGCGGCTTCTCAGTGGGCCTGCTATTGATTCTCTATCTGTACTTACCATCCTTTAACCCTATTTTAGTACCCCTTTTAGGTTTTTGTGGTCTTTGCTCTCTCACGTTGAAATATCTGTTCTTTCTTGTGTCCATCTTATTGTGTTGTGGTGTAGTGGTTGAATTACTGGTTATACTAGTAGAGTTCCGATTATCTAGCCTTTTCTATAATTATTGGCTCACTTCAAGTTTCTTGTAGAAATCAACGTATGTTAGATTTTGGAATGACATCATTTCGAGTCTGCATTTTGGTCTTGGTTATGACAATCCCTACTTCTAAGAGTTCAAAGATTTTAAGCTTTTATGTTCTTCTGATTATGTGTTATTTGTCATATGCTACAACTTGTAGCATACTGCTGGACGGCTGGATGAAGAGGAGAGTTGCACTGACCTCACAGTAAGAACCCAGATTCAGTCGGAAGTTATGCAATCAGGGCTTGCTATGCAACATTTAGGCGCTCTTCTGCTTGAGCTTGGTCGTACAATGCTGAGTTTGCGTATTGGACAATCTCCTGTATGTCATTGTTCCTTTTTTTTCAGTGTTGTCATCTTTAGATGAATTTTCTGTTTCCAATTAATTAGGGTGTGCATATTGCAGGCTGAATCTTCTGTACTCGCTGGGCCTGCTGTTTACATATCTCCATCGGGGCCTAATCCTATAATGGTTCAGGTTTGTTATTAATTCTTATATATATCATATCTATATCTAAATACTATCTTATAAAGCATTTGGCTAAAACTCTTAAAAACTCTTAAAACTCTTAAACCCGTTCATCCTTATCCGATTTCATCCCATATCTGAATTCGTGTAACTAACTGTAGGTAAACACAATCTTATAAAACATTTGGTTAAAACTCTTAAAAACTCTTAAAACTCTTAAACTCTTAAAAACTCTTAAACCCGTTCATCCTTATCCGATTTCATCCCATATCTGAATTCGTGTAACTAACTGCAGGTAAACACAATCAAATACAGGATAAACATCTAATTTTAAATAWAAAAAATCTAAAATATAATTTATATAATCATTAAATTCTAACAGAATACTTAATTATTATCTTTATAAAATTTATAATATTAAACCAAAAATAAATTGTTTTATTATTAAACTATACTATCTTATAAAACATTTGGCTAAAACTCTTAAAAACTCTTAAAACTCTTAAACCCGTTCATCCTTATCCGATTTCATCCCATATCTGAATTCGTGTAAC